TGATTTAAAAATTACCTCCTACGTAGAACAGATTGGTAGAAAGTTGAATACTAGGATTAAGAAACATCATAATGACAGTAACAAAAAAAAACTGGAAATCTGTCATTTCGGAACATAAATTGCAATTCGAACACGAATTTGATTTTGATAATACCAAAATATTAGATAACGAAAGATATTTGAATAAAAGATTAATGTCGGAAATACTCCATATCAAGCTATAAGAAAATGATTTAAATACACAAAACGACACTGAATTTTTACATCATGCTTATTTAAACATTTTTAACAAGTTATGAAATCACATTATTTTTTCACTAATGAATTAAAAAAAAATTGATTTATTAATCAATATTAATTTATCGATTATTTGAATTGTTGTCAAAAATACAATACATCATTATAATTTTTTAATCTATGACTTTTTAATATCTACACAATATAATCTACCATATGTTTGACTATATATTGTACATTAAAGTCTCATGTTTTCAGAAATGTTTATTTTATTCTATAATTTTCCTTTATACTCAATATCATATTTCAATGCTCATTTTTGTAACGAACTTGTTCGATATTGAAGTCCATAACGGTACAGGATATTTCTTTACGATATTATTATAAGATCTTTTATTATGCATTCAAAGACTGCAGTAGGTAAATCTTTTTAAGACTCACTTTCCTCTTTACAATTGTCTTGCGCTAATTATTTATTCCTCTTTAGCGATCATTTAGCGATTTTTTAGCCGTACAGCTTTTTGACAGTTACGCTCTTAAATTTCAAACTGATAGACTCTACTTGCTGCACTCTTCGATTTAATACATCACATAAATTTTAACCAAGAACATCACATTTAATTACTTCATCGCTAAAAATCGCTCAAATGGAGCTGAAACGTTCGATCGATTTATAATGTAAAAATTGAAATATACTATTGTTAAGATCAAACGCATCAATTACTGCATTATTATTAGATTCACTACTTGCACTATTATTAGTCTTAATCACCCGGAAAATTTTAATTAACGTTTGTTATATCATCTAGAGAGCTTAATTTAAATTATTATTTTGTGTTCTAGTTTTTTTCTTAAATAAAGTAAAAGTATCACAAAATCCAAACAAAATCAAATTGTTATTATATAATTATTTTAAGTAAAAATTCGGATTAGAGGAGTATCCTCTAATAATCTTGATCTTGACATATGTTGTCAAGATCATGACCCTGAGTGATCTCCAATAGATTTGAGTCGTTACTCGTCTTTCGTTAAAAAGTTATTGACAAAAAAGTTTGGAAAAATAACATTAGCCCCAGTAAAAAGTCGCGCGCTACTAGACAATGGGGGAAGTGGAATGCAGTAGGTGGATGTAGTTTAGAATAGTTTCTGATGTTATATATAGCCGAAATAAGAAGTTATTTTTTCAAATTTTTTTTGTTAAGAATTTTTTAACGAAAGGGACGAGCGATGGCTGAAACTTGTTGGAGATCACTCAGGGTCATGACCTTAACAACATATGTCAAGATCAAAGTCATTGGAGGATACAACCCTATTCTGAATTTTTATCTTTTTTTACTATCATTTGTCTTGATGTTAAAAATACACAATTCCGATCGGAATCCATTCCGACTTTATTTCATGATAGGTATATCTTGGGCTGCGTTTGAAAATATCCGAATGTTTCCGAATATCATTTTGTCCTTGTTTATTATTCGGTAAACAATTTTTAGGATCAAATGCTTATAGGCACTCGGGTAGAATTTTCGAATGCAGCCCAGGAACAAATATAACTGCACACAATATTAATTATACAATATAACTGCTGTCAATATATCAAAGCTCACGGATGTGATTGCATAATATGATTCATTGCGCTCGCATGCATGCTCCTATTACGTCGTGCGGGCAGAGTGTATTCATTGTGTGGGCACAATGTGATACGCGTGAGAGCAATATGATCTTACACGAATTGTTATCTGGATGGTAATGTCTCGGCGTTAAGGCATGCACAGCGACACTACCGTGAATATTTTACGCGAGATCGCGAGTTGTAGAGGAGATTATTAAATTTCAATGACGGCTGGACCGATTAAGTTCTACATACGAGGTCTGTTCAAAAACTATCGCGAATTTTGTGTTTTTTCAAAAATTATTTATTTATTCATGAATATCTATTTTGTCCCCTTCAAAGTAATCCCCATCAGATATTATACACTTGTGCCAACGTTTTTTCCAATCCTCGAAGCACTTCAAAAAATCATTTTTTGTGATCTTGTTCAGCTCCTCCTTCGATGCCGTCTTTATCTCCTCAATCGTAGCGTAGCGTCGTCCTTTCATGGGCCTTTTCAGTTTCGGGAACAAAAAAAAGTCACAGGGGGCCAGATTTGGGGAATACGGTGGCTGCGGCATTATTAGTGTGTTGTTTTTGGCCAAAAATTCGCGCACAAGCAACGATGTGTGAGCAGGGGCGTTATCATGGTGCAAAAGCCAATTTTTGTTCTTCCACAAATCCGGGCGTTTCTGGCGGATTTTGCTTCGCGCAAATTGCGCATAACTTGCAGATAATATTCCTTATTGACCGTTCTATCCTGTGGCAAGAACTCATGATGCACCACGCCCTTGCAATCGAAGAAAACTGTAAGCAAAACATTCGACCGAACTTGGCGCGCTTTTTTCGGTCTTGGCTTGTGCGGCAGCTTCCATTGGGATGATTGAGCTTTGGTTTCCACGTCATAACCATAAACCCATACTTCGTCACCAGTTATGACCCTCTGGAGCACATTTGGGTCGTCGCGGACAGAGTCCAACAGCTCCTTAGCAATGTTAATGCGATGCTGTTTTTGGTCGAAATTGAGCAATTTTGGTACGAATTTCGCGGCGACCGTCTCATGCCCAAATCATTGGTAAAAATCGAATGGCATGAGCCAATCGATATGTTTAGGTCCTCAGCAACTTCTCTAACGGTGATTTGACGATTGGCCAATACTATTTTCTTCACTTCATCAATGTTTTCGTCTGTTGTTGACGTGCTCGGGCGTCCGGCACGCTCTTCGTCATTCACATCTTCTCGGCCCTCTGAGAACATTTTGTACCACCGATAAACGTTGCTTCGTCCAAGGTAGCTTCACCATATGCCACAGTCAACATTCGGAATGCGTCCGCGCACTTAATTTTGTTTTTCACACAAAATTTGATACAGATTCTTTGATCCATTTTTTGGAATAGGTAAAAATCGAAGACGAGCCAAAACACGTGCAAGCAAAGCAGCATCAAAAATTAATTGAACATTCAAAATGATCGAACTTGTCGGCATAAATGAGAGACATGAGTACCAACATAACGCCACAAAAAAATCGAAAATCGAATATATGTAACCCGTGGAAATTCAAAATTCGCGATACTTTTTGAACAGACCTCATACGTTCAATCGATACTGTCCACTCAAATTGTGTACTAAAAGTGCTTTTATTTTTTTTCTACGTGCCTTAGGAGCGAACATATTGCGACGCAAAGCCCCGATGTGAAACTTTTCACATAGATAGAATTAAGATACGTCATCGTCGTTATTATTATCGTCGACCAGCTAGCCAGATGTGCTGTTGCACGTTTCGGCGCGAGAGTATAATCGTCCAGTTAGAATGTAATGTTAAATGTTTTGGCGTGAAAGTGCGTATTGATGCAACAAGCGCTGGTGGTGCAGGATAAACCAAATTATACGTTTGTATTTGTTAAGTTTCGCTAACTCAGCTAGGGAGTGATAATAAAAAAATCATTGATTAATTATTTGTTCTAATTAATTATTAAGTGTACTTTGCTTTCGCCGTTTTCCTATAGATGGCTTTAGCGATAAGTGGTGGTCGAAATAAATAGATCATAGACATCATACAATAAACTTGGGCATCTGTCAACATAACCCCATAAAAACATTAGTCGATTTGTGTCTGCATCATAAAGTTAATCTCGATTGAAAATATCAGTTTACGAACCAAATTCTCGTCATTTGCGGAAGGTTTGAATTTTGTGCTTCGATATGAAAAAATCTGCAGTTGAGACTCATCGAATGCTCTCAAATACTTATGGTGAGGCCGCTATTAGTGAAAGAACGTGTCGTGAGTGGTTTCAACGCTTCAAGAACGGTTATTTTGACGTCGAAGACCGGCATAGCGGTGGAAGAGAGAAGGTTTTCGAAGATGCAGAATTGGAGGCATTACTTGATCAAGACTCGTATCAAAATCAAGAAGAATTGGCACGATCATTAGGAGTGACTCAAAGCCATTTCAAAACGCCTCAAAGTCATGGGAATGATTCAGAAGCAAGGAAATTGGGTGCCGTATAAATTGAAGCCGAGAGATGTTGAACGGCGTTTGTTTGCTTGTGAACAGCTGTTTGAAAGGCAAAAACGGAAGGGATTGCATTGTGACTGGGGAAAAATGGGTTCACAAAAATGGGTTACAATAACCCCAAGCGCAGAAAATCATGGGGAGTTCTCGGCCATGCTTCCACGTCGATGGCCAAACCGAATATTCATGGCTCCAAGGTAATGTTGCGAAAGTGGTCAAGACATACCTGGAAATGAGCCATTGCATCACGGACTAAAAAGAAGTAGACCAAACTCAAGCATCTGGTCACAAAAAATAGACTCAAAGTATATAATAATTTCGGAAAAGCGCTGTAAAACAAATGCTCCTGTCAAAGAAAACTGTCAACTTAGAGGATTCATCAAGTAAAATTCTATCAAATTAAAAAGTAAAACGCAAGTGGTACTATCTTGTGTTACTTAACTCTATGGTTCTATCTTGTGTTACTTAACTCTTGATTAGCTAAGATTGTAGCATCTGGGTTTTAATTTGATATATTAATTTTTTTCGAGGAGTAATAATTTTTGACAGAGAATTAAAGTTGCTATAACTTGAATTGAAATAAAAATGTCTTAAATCAGAATATCTTTGAAGAAAAATTAAAACTGCTACTATTAATATAATTGGGTTGAATACTCTTTTATTCGAAAAGCACATTTTCTTAGCGCCTCTTTTAATCTTTTTTAAAAAGATAATTTTGTATTGATATAAGAATATACACACAGGCCAACTAAATTCACAACCTAATCAATACAATATTTGATTTATTGTACAATATACAATATACTGATGATCATGTTCGGATTTTTGATATTCTTGCAGGGAATCCAACAAAAACGGTGCGCTGATGGATAAAGAGTTCCTCAAAAGAAACTCATTACTCACTGATCTCTTCGACATCCCGCATATTCGCACGGTTTACAATCTATTTATGTTGACTTTCATAGTTCTCTTTTTTAACACTATCGTATGCGATATCATGGAGTTTGGAAGGTAAGTTGGGAATGGAAATGATCGCATTCTCTGACTCGCATTCTCTGGAAAATCGATTTTGTTGATAAACATAAATATCGTTTTATAAATATATATTTGAAAATAAAAAAATATTTATTTTTAAAAAATAATATAATAATAAAGGCTAAATAATTTATAAAATTAATAATAAGTATAAAGCTACAAGTCAAGCAAGGTCTTAATGCTGTGTTATTAAAAATTTATTACAACAAACGTTTAAATTGAGTCATTCTCAATGTTAACCTTGATACAATTTGAAATCAATTACTTATTTGAAAGATAATAACTTGACGAAACATATAATATGATTAAGATAGTAATTGTAATAATATATACAGTAATTGTAATAATATAATTATTGTCTTAATCATATATGTTTCGTCAAATTATTGTCTTTCAAATGAATAGTTGATTTTAAATTGTATCAAGATTATACTAACGTTAAAAATGATCCAATTGGACCTGAAACGTTTATTATAATAAATTTTTTAATAACACAACATTAAGACTTTGCTTCAGTAGCCTTATACTTATTATTAATTTTATTAATTTTTAACATTTATAATATTAGTTGAATAAATATTTTTAGTCAAAATTTCTAAATTTAATTTTTCTCTAATTTGTAACACATTTTGGTCTTAAACCAAATTAAGTTTTTATTGAGTCTTTAAATATTTTTAGTCTCAGATTTTTAAAAGATATTTGATAATGTCACACAGATTATAATTTTATACTGTCTAATTTATCGGAACCGTATTTATTTTCTGATTGTGAAATATAACGTACATATTATCGGGATTGAAGAAAACGATATAGGCATTTTAATATTGCGTTTGAAAAACGTTTGGTTTAATATTGGAAAATTATTCGTGATAAAAGATACATAAGATATCTACACTGAAAAAAAAATCTTAATTTTAAAGAAATATTTTTTTGCTCATATTAAAAAAAAAAGTAAAAATTATTAAAAATAGTAAAAATTATAAATAAATAAAATTATAAAATTATAAAACTTATTTCTTTGGATCAATGAAAATTTGTTTGTAAATAAGATATTGTACAATATTTTATTTTCAAAAAAATTTTCATTGATCTAAAGAAATAATTTTGTTTAATACGAGCAAAGAAATATTTTTTTGAAATTAAGATTTTTTTTCAGTATACCCACTTATTGTCAAGAGCAATGAATCTTCGTTGGAAAATAGGAAAAATTCATTAATGAATTATTAGACAACTCGTTAATTACTTATTAATTTCCGCGACATATTTGCTCCTTTTAACCATTGGTTCGTACAGTTTAATTTTCCTTTTTTAATTATTGATTTTTAAAGAATTCGCGTTGGTACCAATACAATAGGGATTGGTTTCGCAAAGTTTCCAACGTGCATCTGTATTTGGTCGTTCATGCAAGTCTCGACATTTGGTGACATTTGGTTGTCTACGCGGCTTTTATCCTCTGGGCGTACCGGCGGCAACAGTTCTTGCCAAAATGTAACGATCTCTTCGATTAATTCAAGTTTAGATAAATGTAGGCTTAATTTAAACATTATAAAAGTTAAATTAAATGAGAAATTTAAAATTGAAAAATCACTTAATTTAAAAAATAATTTAACAAAAAAATAGTTCGATAAAATAAAATCTTTGATAAAATAAAATTTTTTAAATAATCTTTGTAATATAACATAATAATTGATTAATTAAGTTAAAATTATATTACAACAACGACATCATGCACAAATAATTAACCGTAATTCTAAAAGCTAATAGACAATATTAACTGATTTTTATTAGATAACAAAGAAAGGCCCCTTTTTTGAAATATGAGACAGCGGCGTTTCTGCTAAATAACTAATAAATGCTATTTGTTGATTTCACCAGTTATTGCTCTTAGGTTGAAAACTATTTAGTGGAAAATGCATTATTAGATCGTGCACTGAACTATATATACAATGGAATGGGCATCGAAGAAAATTCATGGTCCAATTGATCAACCGCCATTTTAATTGGGACGATATTTGAGCGAATCAGAAGCGCGCGCGCTGCGATCGATATATCAATCGATATACTATCGATGTATGGAAATCTATTGAGAGTACAAATTAATTCGGTCCAAAAGATGGCTCCGGCTGTTGTGAATGATTCATAATGATAGCTAATTTTGGCGTTGGTTTTCAGAGAGGTTAGACATCTGCTAATAATATTCAGTTTATATCGCTTTGAGTTTCATACAAAAACCTTGATTTTTACTGTGTTTGAAATGTCGAATTTTGTGTTAACCAAGCAGCATTTGCGGGAGATTCTAATTTTTTGCTTTAATTGGAAGAAAAGTGTAGCTGAAGCCCATCGAATGCTTGTCGAAGTTTATGGTGACACTGCTCCAACTGATAAATCATGTAGGGAACGATTTCGACATTTCAAGGATGGAGATTTCAGCGTTGAAGACAAGCCTCGCTCTGGCCAGTCAAAAAAATTCGAAGACAAAGAATTAGAGGTATTACTAGAAGAAGATCAGAGTCAAACGCAAGAGGAATTTGCAGAATCATTAGGAGTAACTCAACAAGCCGTTTCTGCACGATTGAGAGCCATGGGAATAATTCAAAAACAAAGAAATTGGGTTATATATTAAATATGAATTGAAACCGAGAGACCTTGAAAGGTGATTTTTCACTTGCGAACAGCTGATTCAAAGACAACAAAGAAAAGATTTTTTGCATCGGATTGTGACTGGAGATGAAAAGTGGATATTCTACGACAACCCCAAGAAGAAAAAATATTAAGCCCGGTCAATCGTTGCAATCGACCTCAACATCAACACCAAAGCCGAACATTCATGGTTCGAAGATCATGCTCTGTATCTGGTAGGACCAAAAGGATGTTGTTTACTATGAGCTGCTGAAACCTGGCGATTTCATTA